TATATATATATATATATATATATATATATATAACTTTTTGGACAAAATTTATTTAATTTTTTTGGACCAAATTGTAATTAATCAAATTTTTGGGTACTTAATGAAAAAATTTTAAAGGTAATTTTTATTTCCTACCGTTAGCTTTTTCAGGTATTTTATGGTCTGGGTCGATTGTTAACCGATTTAACAGACACAGTGTTTTAGTCTGAACGGAGATGTCTACTCGAGTTTTGTCTAAACAATGACGAGTGTTCTAAAAAGGCTTGAAAGATGTTTGAATGGCCACGAATGAATCTATAAATAGTCTGCCTAGCTGCCAGAATAATTACACCATTTTCATTGCATACTTTCTCTACTTTGAATCTCACCCTCTCTCTCTCGTTCTGATACCTTTCTCGAAGTGAAAATACTTCATTGAGTTTGTTGAAACTCTTGCAAATTGTTGTACTGCTTTCGTAGGAGACGAAATTCGTTCTATTTTGGGAAATGATTGTTGAACGCTTTTAGCATATTTGAAGGTATCAAATTCGTTTTAAAGAAACATCATAAAGTCGATGGGCTCAAATTAACATTCTGATCATGTTAATCATCTTGTTACGTTGTTCAAGTTACATTACGGTAATTCTACCAGTGTAGTATACTCGTATTATACGAGTGGGAAAATTATACTCCAGAAACAACAAAATCAACAAATATTCCCGTTGATCATGTTCTAGTGGCGTCAAATGGCTGATTGTTTCTTAAATTTGCATTAAATGGGAAAACAGCCAAGAACATAAAGACCTGTTAAAGAACAACTATAATCCAGACACGCCACTAGAACAATCCAGTCACACTAGCTATTTTATTGAAGTGCAGGGTGAAAGCAGTATTCCTTGGCTTGATTCACTTTTAAATTTTACAAAGTCGATGACAGCAACAGAATGCCATTGATAAAGAACTGATCAGAATTTACACACAATATACAATGATGGATTTTGCTATTGGTATTGTGGATGGAGCGCCAACTAATTAATCACCTATAAGAGAGTGTGAGACAAGTTCCTTTTCTGAACTATTCCAGTTCAAATTTTGTTCGTGTATATTTAGCCCTTGCTTGACAACCATTAATTGAGGAAAACATGGTATTGAATAGCCTTTTTTAGGCGAATGCGTGGTTAGAAAGTAGGCAAAACTTTGAATTTACGTGTAAAATATTTTAATATGTAAATTTGTTGTTGAAAATGAGTATATATATATATATATATAAAGAAAAATTGAACATAATGGTTGTGCTTATGTTGACTCAAAAATAGTCACCTTTGGAATGGTCCGAATGGATGACTTCAACGCCAAGGAAAAACTCTCTGTCACTACGATGTCTCACCCGAGTTTAATGATCGCGCAACTCAAGTATCCTGAAATAGCTTTATTTCTCTTTAAAATGCAAGAAAGTTCGAAATAATCAGATGATCAATTTTGATGACATACTCAGATGATCATTGATTTGATGTAGTCAATAAGAGCATCCAAATTGTTATACGATGATCCACCTTCACTAACAGCCTTCCTTGCAAGCTTTGCCAAATTTTTTGACCTTTCCAAGAACTCATCCTTCCTTTCTTCCATAAGCTCTCTGACAGCTCTCTCAATAATTTTTCTATCACAAGTATCTTTCATGTCTAACCCAATCTTCCAAACCTCACTCACAAACCTACTGTTAATCGTTTGATCACCAAAATATGGCCAACAAATCATTGGCACACCAGCCACAATACTCTCCAGAGTCGAGTTCCATCCACTGTGCGTCAAAAATCCACCCACTGCCTCAAGGTTCAGCACTTCTTCCTGAGGTGCCCATCCTACCATGTAACCCCTTGCCTTTGTACCCTCCTCTAATTCTATTAGAGTTTGATCCTTCCGATCTTCCCCTAAAACTGAGTCTGGCCTCATGACCCATAAGAACCTCTGTCCACTATTCACCAATCCATGCCAGAACTCCAATAGCTGCTCTCTTGACACAACTGTAATGCTTCCAAAACTAACATAGATTACTGATTTTGGTGGCTGTGCATTAAGCCAATCGAGACAACTCCGGTCTTCTGCCCAAAAGCTTCCTGAAAGAACTGAGTTATCGGCCTTCGTTTAGCTATTCACTAATCCATGCCAGAACTCCAATAGCTGCTCTATTGTCACAGCTGTAATGCTTCCAAAGCTAACATAGATTACTGATTTTGGTGGCTGTGCATTAAGCCAATCGAGACAACTCCGGTCTTCTGCCCAAAAGCTTCCTGAAAGAACTGAGTTATCGGCCTTCGTTTTTGCGAGTCTTGACTTTAGGTGGGAATGATTTGGTCCAATGGTGAATACTTTTGGTATGTGCTTGCGTATAAGAGACACTGTTGGCCTTTCTAGATCTTCAAATGTGTTAAAAATGGCTGCTTGCGCTCTTGTGGTTTGTCTAGTAACGGATTCAGCAATTCGAAGTTTTGGCTCATTGATGTCTTTGGCACGGCAAAAGCTGGGCAAGTCACGGAATCTTAAAAAACCTTCCATTCCCGGAACGCTTTTTACTATTTGGTCCATGCCAATACCTGCAAAATTCATCAAGAAAAGCAATTAAAATATCAAGAAAAGCAATTAAACAGATTGGCTGACTAGAAATCAAGAAAGAAAGTGGACACCTTCGTGGGAAATTTCACCGGCTTCAATGAGTTCAGGTATACAGAAATAAGCCCAAAAGGAGCTAGCGCTAATAGTACGAAAATAGATGAGGGGTATTCCTTTCTCTTCAGCAAAATCACCGGCAAAGGTCAGGACCCCGTCAGCTATGATGCAAGTAATTGACCTTCGGGTTTCAGAAGCGAATAAGTTCTTCTCAATCATCATCTGCTTGAAAAGTGGTGCCGTTATGTTTTTAGTAGAAGACAGGATATCCATGACTTGCTCGCCAACTCGAGGATGGTCAGCAGGAAGCCCATCGGTAATAGACTGGAAACGGAACCCAGGATACTGGTTGAAACGCGAAACGACTGTAGTATGCTTGAGGAGGCGGGCGTGGCTAAAATCAGAGACCATGAATGTAATGTCAAGGCCAGAAAGACAGAGGAGTTCGGCCAGTTTGAGCATGGAATTCACATGGCCCTGAATTGGCACCGGAAAAATGAGTACATGAGGAGGGAGTGTGGCACCTTGAGAATCCATTAGCTTCTTCAATTTTCTGTCGTTGCAATTTTCATATCAACTCTGTTCAAAACAAGTATTTATGCAATAAAACAACTAATCAGAGATCACGCTAGATAAAGATAACATAAGACGTCACTGAAGGCGTCAAAACGTAGGTGGCGCAGTAGTTTTGAGACAACATGAGAGATAGAAACGACAAAACGTCACGTGGCTCTTCAGACGTTACATATGACTACTAAATGTGGGCAGCACGATTTGATTCGGAGTGCATTTTTTTTTCTAAGGAAAACAATAAAATATTAAGAAAAAGATGTTTAGTGTAAAAAGATAAAGATTGAGGGCGATAGATCTCTAGATGGTGGATTCAAACTTATCTTTGTTGAACTCAATCACGTGAGATTAGGCTGCTAATGGATCTTGCCACACATTTCATTACTTGTTCTTCTCCTCCACAAAAATACCCCATTAGCGTTCAAAAGCAAGCGTTCCCAAAAGGTAGATCTTCCATAGTTTACATTTCGACGATAAAATAAGTAACTGGATTAAGCTTATAAAAGCTAAACTTACCTGACAAATAGGTTAATGGAGCAAACTAATCAAAAGTGTGGCTTGGAGTTTTTTCTTACCATTTTTCTCCTTGAAAAATAGCCTTTTGTAGGTCTTTAATAAGTGCATTTTATGCGGACTTTTATTCTTATTTCTATTTAAATTTAGGAAAATATCTACTTAATTTGTATAAATTATGTTAATTGCAGGAAAATTCCAAATTGGATACAATTTATGTGAAAATAGGTTATTTGGAACTTAATTGTGGTTGATTTGAAGTAATTGAAAATTGACTGGATTGCAAAATATCAATTGGAAGTATTAACGGAACATTCGGTAAAAATTCATAAGTTTTGAAAGTTATATTCATTGGGAAATTTGGAGACTAAATTGCAAACTTTCAGAATTTGCCTTAGGCCAACTATAATGATTTTATAATGGGTAATTAGTACATAATGTCCTCACATTTCATTGTCATTGTGGAAAACGTCCATACCTTTCATTTTTTTGACTATTCGAGCCAAAAAATAATTTATTTGGGACTCGTTTGCACTTTTTAATTTTTTTTAAAATTTTAAATAAATTTAATCGGGACTCGTTTGCACTTTTTTTTTAAAAAAATTAAAATTTTTAATAATTTATTGTGGACTTGTTTACACTTTTAAAAAAATTGGGACTATGGTTGCAATTAATTCTATAGCTTTTTATTTAAATATGAGGGTACATTCGTCATTTCACAGCATTTTATTGAGAAATTGGATGAAAATGGATGTAAATGATGGTTTCAGCAATTAAATATGTAATTAAGGGTGAAAGTGTTAAAAAAATAAAAGGTAGGGACTTTTTTGCAATAATAGTGGAAGGTGGGGACATTATGTGCTAATTAACCTTTTAATAATTTATTTGTGACTTATTTGCGCTTTTTAAAAAAATTTGGGACTGTGATTGCAATTAATTTTTTTTCTTTTCTTTTTGTTTTTTTAAGATAAGGGCATATTCGTCATTTCATAATTTTTAATTGAGAAAATAGGTGACAATAATGTTTTGCGCAATAAAATGTGGAAATAAGGATGAAAATGCCAAACGATAAAATGTAAGAATGTTTTTCACAACAATAATGAAAGATGTGGACATTATGTACTAATTACCCTTTTATAATAAAGAAGACTTTAATGTAAATATTAGAAGATGAAGTACTAAAATCATATAAAAAATGAGTTTAATTGGAAAATGATTTTTTTTCCTTTTTCTTCTCAAACTCTATGATGAAAATCAATTTGAACAAAAAAATTACCTAAATTTTGTTCTATAAATACATACCTCATTCCAACAATTAAAAGATGCTTGATAGAATTTCATTCTACACATATATTCAATCCAAATGCTTGTACGATTTCATTAGACGCATATATTCAAGTCGAGGTTTGGGAGATTCATTGTACATATATTATACAAGCCCAAAAGAAAGGAAAAATCAAGAAATCAATCAAAAACTTGAGTTTTAAGATTTTACAAGAAGAATGTCAAATCTTGGTGCAAGATATTCATCTTTTTCCTGTTTTTCTGTAAAATTCGGTGATGTGCTTTAATTTCTTCTTATATTTTTCTTCAACCATGACATGTGATTAAGTAATTAGTTGGAATAAATGATTGTAACTTAATATTAATTAAAATGTTATAAATCTCCAATTGATGTTATGAATTGTTTTTATTTCCATTCTTAATGCTTGGATTAATTGAATACATTTATTTGCAGTTTCCATGTGAAAAGTAACCTAATCGAGATTATTAATCAATTTAGTTAATGTTTAGACCCTATAATGTGCACAGTGGAATTAAAAATAACAATTAAAAGTAACAAGTCAATTCTTAATTGTTTCTAGATAGATAATTAATCACGTCGATTTATCCTATGTTGAATTATCACATTTTGTAATATGAAAGCAGTAAAGAACACAAAATTGATCACGAAGAAAACCTTTCGAAAATGATAAAAAACTTTAAACACTTTGCTAGTCAATAGTATACGATAAACGAAACAACTTACAGTATAATCCAGACCCGACTAACATTTAGTCCCTCATGACCTTCTTTTTCTGTAGTCACCCTTGATCATATTGGATTGCATCCTCCTCACACCAAATCCCGACTCCTGGTATATCACATTGGCCCTTCTGGACTGTATGTCTCTGCACGAGCTTCCGATCCTCGACGTTGTGGATTAGGTGGTTTGAAGTTTGATAAAAAAATCCTATGTGTTTTGATATGTGGTTTAATGTAGAATAATATGATTTGAATCTTGAAATCAATGAATATTTTGGATCATCAAAGAATTGATCTCTATGAAATACATTTGATTCACCACCCTATGGGACGTCCATAGGGTTAAGTATTTATAGAGAAAACTGTTTGAGATGAAAATAGATTGAAAAATCCGTGTTTTACGCAAACATGGATTTTTGGACGTCGACTCATCGCTCGAGCGCTAGGTGAGCGACGCACTTACTGCTTGAGCGTTAGCCTAGCGCTAGGCGAGAGACATGGGTTCTGCTACTGCCGCTCTAGCATCATCTAAAAAATTAAAAACGCAAAGCCATAATATAA